GAATGCGATGACCATTCCTCCACCCCTTTTATGCATATGTACCTCCCTGTCCGTATAAGAAAAAAACAAAGTTATAACTGTATGAAAATGCCAGGCTGTTTATATAACATTTTGCTGAGATGTGAGAACACGCATATGCAAATATATATACAGGTTGAAAATGCTTGAAACCGGAAGTGTTTTGGATTTCTGAATATTTGCATATTCATAATGAAATATGTTGGATCCAAACACAAATTTGCTTCATATGCACCTTAGACACATAGCCTAAAGGTGATTTTATACAATATTTTTAATAAATTTGTACAAAAAACAAAGTTGTTTCTGTGTGTTTTGAATCGAAGTCTCACTCTGTTGTCCAGGCTGGAGTGCAATAGCATGCTCACACTCACCACATCCTAGACCTGCTGGGCTCAAGCCATCCTTCCGCCTCAGCCTTCCAAGTAGCTGGAAATACAGGGGCATGCCACCGTACCCAGCTAATTTTTTGATTGATTGTAGAGTCTAGGTCTTTTTAAATTGCCCAAACTTGTCTCGAACCCGTGGGCTCAGGCAATTCTCTTGCTTCCACCTCTCAAAGTGTTTGGATTACAGGCATGAGCCACCACACCTGGCAAAGCAAAGTTTTGACCATGACCATGATCAAATGAGGCCAGGTGTGGAATTTTCCACTTATGATATTGAAAGGACATAACATGGATTTAATATACTCAATAAACAGCCATTTTAACATTGCCTAAATCTCATGCTTTTCTAGCAGTTTTCTTAACTTGCTGTTTAAACTAGCCAAGGACAGAACCTGATTTTTAGAGGTAGCTATTGATAATTGTTTTGAGTTTTTTTTGAGTTGGAGTCTCACTCTGTCACCCAGGTTAGAGGGCAGTGGCATGCTCCCGGCCACCATACCCTCGACCTGCTGGGCTCTAGTGATCCTTCCGCCTCAGCCTTCTGAGTAGTCAGAACTACAGGCACGCGCTACCACGCCCGGCTGATTTTTGATTTATTGTAGAGACGAGGTCTCGCCAAGTTGCCCTGGTGGGTCTCGAACCCGTGGGCTCAAGCAATCCTCTCTCCTTGGCCTCCCAAAGTGCTGAAATTACAGACTGAGCCACGAAGCCTGGTTGATAATTATTTTAAAACCCCCTCTCAGATTGTTTTGTACTAATTTGCTTTTCTATTTCAAGTATTTGCTTCCACCCATAAGACCCAAGTTAACCTAACCAGCCCCCTACCCCCTTTTTTAAAAAATTTAGTCGGAGTCTCACTCTGTCGTTCAGGTTGGAGTGCAGTGGCACAATCACGGCCACCCCAGCGTCAACCCTTCTGCCTCAGGCTTCTAAGTAGCTAGAACTACAGGCACACACTACTATGCCCAGCTAATTTTTTTTATTTTATTGTAGAGATGAGGTCTCGCCAAATTGCCCAGGCTGGTCTCGAACCTGCAGGCTCAGGTAATCCACTCTCCTTGGCCTCCCAAAGTGCTGGGATTACAGGCTGAACCACTGAGCCCGGCCATAACAACCCTTTGAGACCTTCTTGACACAGACTCCACCACCATGGCAGCAATCATGTGACTAAACCCGCCTATCTGCCTGCTATCCATCACCTGATGTCAGGACCTGCATGTCCTGCCCTTTCCTGATGACGTGAGAAGACCACTACCCAACCACCTTAATGACCTTCCCCCATTATAGGGAAGGATTAACCAGATTCAGCCGTGAGCAGCCAGCCAGTCACCACTTGGTGTGGCTGTGTCTCTTTGAGCTGTGACCATCGCCATGTTTCCTAAGCTTTGACCCCTTCCCTACCTTTGAGAGGTGAATCTCCTCTCTCTCTCTCTCTCTAATTTACTTTTTAAATAAGCTATATTTTTCAGTCTAACTTCTGTGTAATTCTTTGTATCTTTCACATGGCACCAGATTGCACACCAGACACCCACAACCCTGGGGAAGTCTCACCAAAAATTCTGGAGGCCCCGCTGGGATTGTGACCTAACAGTGCTCAAAAAGTTCTTAATTTTGGAGCATTTCAAATTTTTGAATTAGGGAATGCTCAACCTGTATATGGGTGTGTGTGTGTGTGTGTGTGTGTGTGTGCGTGCGCGCACGTGCGCGTATCTCAAGATTGTAAATGTTGGTTCAAAAATTTCAAAAGAATATCTGCATAACAAAACTGATAGGTAAATTGGTCATAGCAGATAATTAAATAGCAGCAAGGTTTTCTGAATAACTCAAGAATGAGATTCAAGAGAATAGGTTTTTAGTGGTTGGGTCAGCTTTGTTTTTTGAAATCAATGCTTTACAGAACTTGTATTTATTATTTGGAATATACACACATTTTGTTTTGTTTTGTTTTGTTTTGAGTTGGAGTCTCATTCTGTCACCCAGACTGGAGTGCAGTGGCTTAGCCACCACAGCCTCGACCTGCTGGACTCCGGCAATCCTTCCGCCTCAGCCTTCCCAGTAGCTGGAACTACAGGCGTGCGCTATCACGCCCGGCTAATTTTTTATTTATTGTAGAGATGAGGTCTTGCCAAATTGCCCG